ATCTATTCCAGGTGTGTATAACTGTACGGACGCCGTGCCCCCTGTATCTATTCCAGGTGTGTATAACTGTACGGACGCTGTGCCCCCCTGTATTTATTCCAGGTGTGTATAACTGTACGGACGCTGTGCCCCCCTGTATTTATTCCAGGTGTGTATAACTGTACGGACGCTCCCTGTATCTATTCCATGTGTGTATAACTGTACGGACGTTGTGCCCCTTGTATCTATTCCAGGTGTGTATAACTGTATGGACGCCGTGCCCCCTGGATCTATTCCAGGTGTGTATAACTGTACGGACGCCGTGCCCCCTGGATCTATTCCAGGTGTGTATAACTGTACAGATGCCGTACCCCCTGTATCTATTCCAGGTGTGTATAACTGTACGGACGCTCCCTGTATCTATTCCATGTGTGTATAACTGTACGGACGTTGTGCCCCCTGTATCTATTCCAGGTGTGTATAACTGTACGGACGCCGTGCCCCCTGTATCTATTCCAGGTGTGTATAACTGTACGGACGCTGTGCCCCCCTGTATTTATTCCAGGTGTGTATAACTGTACGGACGCTGTGCCCCCCTGTATTTATTCCAGGTGTGTATAACTGTACGGACGCTCCCTGTATCTATTCCATGTGTGTATAACTGTACGGACGTCGTGCCCCTTGTATCTATTCCAGGTGTGTATAACTGTATGGACGCCGTGCCCCCTGGATCTATTCCAGGTGTGTATAACTGTACGGACGCCGTGCCCCCTGGATCTATTCCAGGTGTGTATAACTGTACAGATGCCGTACCCCCTGTATCTATTCCAGGTGTGTATAACTGTAAGGACGCTCCCTGTATCTATTCCATGTGTGTATAACTGTACGGACGTTGTGCCCCCTGTATCTATTCCAGGTGTGTATAACTGTACAGACGCCGTGCCCCCTGGATCTATTCCAGGTGTGTATAACTGTACGGACCCCGTGCCCCCTGTATCTATTCCAGGTGTGTATAGCTGTACGGACGCCGTGCCCCCTGTATCTATTCCAGGTGTGTATAACTGTACGGACGCCATGCCCCCCTGTATCTATTCCAGGTGTGTATAACTGTACGGACGCCGTGCCCTTTGTATCTATTCCAGGTGTGTATAACTGTATGGACGCCGTGCCCCCTGTATCTATTCCAGGTGTGTATAACTGTACGGACGCCGTGCCCCCTGTATCTATTCCATGTGTGTATAGCTGTATGGATGCCGTGCCCCCTGTATCTATTCCAGGTGTGTATAGCTGTATGGACGCCGTGCCCTCTGTCTCAATAATACCACAGCTCTCTGTGCTGAGTTCCCGGTAACAGTCCATGAATGAAATTAAATAATGTTTAGGCTGTCTCTGGGGAGGGGAAGCATGCTGCTGCCTAGTGGCTAATAAAAACATTTAGATCCTGTCAGTTGCTAAGGGGATGGGGGGGAAATCCCAATTTGCCTGGGGCCATGTTTTGGCCACTCAAGCTGTGTGGGACCTCCCTTTGCACCCAGACATACACAGATGCCCTAACAGTCTAACAGACCCACAATGTTTCCCTGAACTCATATCATGAATGCTGCTGCTACTCAGTATGTAGCACTCAAATGCTGCAGGAGAGAAATATCCAACTAATGAAAGCAGTGTTTTGGGGATTCCACCTAATTATTAGATACATTTAATATCACAAGGCAGCACTTATCATGGATGATCTGCACTGACAGCTAAACACACTGGACACGGCACTGGCACACAGCTATACACACACAGCACTGACACACAGCTATACACACACAGCACTGGCACACAGCTATACACACTGCACTGACACATCTAAACACACAGCACTGACACACAGCTATACATACTGCACAGGCACACATCTAAACACACAGCACTGACACACAGCTATACACCGAGCACTGACACATCTAAACACACAGCACTGACACACAGCTATACACCGAGCACTGACACATCTAAACACACAGCACTGACACACAGCACTGACACACTGCACTGGCACACAGCTAAACACACATCTAAACACACAGCACTGACACACATCTAAACACACAGCACTGACACAGAGCT